CCCCCCTATGGCTGTTTTGTCAAACTTTGGCCATTTAAAGATGGGTGGACATCACCCCCCGGATTCCCCCGGCAGGCTTGGCTGGCTAGGGGATTCTGGGAGTTGATGTCCACTCATCTTAAAGTGGCCAAGTTTGGACAACACTGCCTTAATGCTTTGCCATTAGCATGCTGATAATAGTTGCGTGGTTCTCCTTGGAATACTGCACTCTGAAGTGAGTTTAATTGCCTGTATCCTGTTTCCTAAAGTATTAACTGGCTGGGAGACTGAACCCAAGGCTTTAAATTATTTATCATGACTGCAAAGTTGATGCAAGACTAGGTACTAAGACTAAATGCAGTGACCTCCATTCGTTATTAGTTTTATGAAATGCTTAATACAGTTTTATTCTTGGGCATTAATGCCTTACTGTAGAAAGTTATTATTTTCCCTTAAATTTGTATAGCATATAAAGTACCTTTTTCCTTTTGGGGGAAGACAGTTCAAGTTTTGTATTTGGGATTTTTATTCTTGCAAGCCACCCAGAGTCACCGTGAGTGAGTTGGGCGGCCATATAAATTCCTTAAATAAATAAATAAAGGTGAATTCAAAGTCTGGAGAGGTTTGTATATATTTAACATGGTGCAAATTTTAGAAGGAAAAATATATGCCAGGGTTCTGTGTTAGGAGATAACAACTTTTTTTTTTATGAGGAAGGATTTTCTTTTTTTTTTTAATGGAGGTACGGTCAATTACACGAGCCTTTATTTGCAATTTGAAGAGTTTCTCGTCTCAGTGAATTAAATATTAGGGTGCAGAATTTGTAGCTTCAGATTCAGTCTGCCAGAATGCAGACTTCATTGAACTTCATTGAAATGCATGTAATAGTATTGCTGGAATAAAAAGAATGAACTTTGGAGAATGCCTTACTAGAAAATGTTCTGATATTCTTCAAGATATCCTCCGTAAACATTGAACATCAAGGGACATATTGGTGTCGGGTATACAATAGCCAAGAAAATGAAGAAAGCAGAAAAGTGAAAGTCACTATAGGTAAGAAGTCTAATAGTGAATTTAATAAGCATTAAACTGGCATGTAGTTCAGTTTGGCATATCAACATCAGAAATTACTAATGGGAAGTTGGATCAGGTATAATTAACATGGCCGTTTTTATGGGACTTACTTTCTATTTATCTTAAAAAATTTATTCTATAGAAAATTATGGTCTGAACTTTTTTAGGTTCCTATTTCTTGATGCTGCACACCAATGCAGGTGACATCTTTATAACTGTAATGATTATTTATGTTACAGATTTTTTTTGCAGAATATCTTGTTCAAACTGTGTAATTGTTGTGTTCCTCTGAATGGCATTTCTGGAAGAGATAAGCTTGCCACCAACATTGTGTTCATGTGAGAAACTTCATCATCTAGGGAAAAAAGACAGGATCTTTATACTATTTATCAAATTTCTAAGCATGCTACCATATGTTAACTTGATTTCCTGATATTTATTCATGCCATGTGGGAAAGGAATATATGTCAATAATGTTACCCTACTATTTGCATTCTGCTGGAGGTGTATAAGCAGGATATCCATAAATTTTCATTTTTAATATTTTCATTTTTTAAAACTTTTTAAAATGTATCATACACCATGAAGGAAAATGACTAGTATAATACATGTCTATGTGTAATATGTACACAAAATGTACACGATTAATTTTAAGTCAGGGTACAACAGGCTGCTTCAGCTTTTGCATTTTAGTTTCTAACTGTACAAAAGAAACTGGATTTCCAGTAGGTAGACAGTTAAAACCTGCTGTAGAATTGAGATGTATATTGTCCTTCTGTAAATCATCTACAGTTGTTCATGTTATTTACAGTTCATTGTTCCACAAGACCCTTTAAGTTTATAATACTCTGTGGTCACTATTGGTTAGAAGACTCAGTATTCTGTGTTCTATATGTTTATCACTCTCAGCTCAGCATGCTAATTTACATGTGTTAGCCCTTCAAGGTAGACCAAAAACCAGTGCCATGTAGGTCGGTACTACTTTTATTGTAAAGCTATAGTAACAGAATCTTGCAAGTCTGAATGTATTTTCCCCTCCCTCCCTTTATCTTCATGTGAACTAGGGTGGGGCTTGTCTGAGATGTTTACTCACGTTACTTTCTTGGTCCTGGCTCAGGCCCTCTTATCTGACTGTTACCTTGGTAGTGGCTTTTCCTCCTGTCCTTTAAGGCCATTCCCTATTCCCTCTACAACATGTCTGGTCTATGTGTCAGAGAAGGGGATTTGATTAAGCTCCCTTTGGATCTCTGATCACTGGCATACCAGACTTTGCTTTTCCATTATATAAATGAGATTGGCTCCAAGTTTTTAGAAAAATAAAAGTCTACAATGAAGAAAAGGTTTTCAATGTATCACATGTTTCATCATGCATTGTCGTTTATGAGTTTGATGCAAAAAAAAAACCCACACAAATTCTCTTCAAGAGTTGTGCTTTCCAAGTTTGGAATTTTAAATATCCATTTAAGAATATTAGTTATGTCAAACACAAGATGGATCCTTAGACAAAAAAACAGTTCCAGTTTTCTCTGTTTGACACACGTTTAAGTATGAATTATGCAGTAATGCTTGGCTCTAGACTTGTTGGAAATGTAAATATCATCCTTACCTCCTATTTGTATTCTTATCTGTCAAATAAAATCAGGAGCTTCACTCTAGCATTCTTTTCTCTTGAAACTCAAGGTGGAAAATCTATTGCAGTAGAATGCACTGAAGGTAATGTTAATCAAATACTGTAGAGCTTTCTGATGAAACTTAAATACTGACAATTTGGTGATTCTGGGATCTATAGCTAGAATGGAATTTTGTGCTGCATTAGTCTATGAATGCCTATGTAAGATAATGTCATATTCTTGCATGAGCTGTTCATTTCTTCTTTACATCTTCTACTAATTATACAAAGTCGGTCCTTTTCTTTGCCACTAACTTTGTAAGCATTGAAGAAAACAATCATTAAACATTACCTTCCTTCTATTTTTAATTTTCATTTTTGGATAACTCGTAAACCCCTTTTCATATATTTATCTAATCTGTATATTCATTTTTCTTTTGTTCTTTTCAGAGGAATTAAATGACCTTGAAAGACCTGGTAAGTGCATTACACCGGATAACACATATAAAAACTGTGCAGGATCTTTGCTCATGAAGAAACAGTTTGCTTCTATTATGACTGTTATTGATGTTGCTCATTATTTTTCTCTGTCTTTAAATGCATCCCTGAGTTTATAGTCAGCTTTTATATGTCTTTATCCAGGCTATCCAGTACTATCCTGTACCAGTCTATAAAGTAGAAATATAAATTTAAGCACCATTTAAGACCTAATGAAGGTCCAGCTAAGGATCAAAACCATATTTTAATACATTTGTACTGCCTGAAGCAAACCAAACATTCATCAGAAATATAGTTAGTTAATTAATGTATTGATTGGTAAATTGGCTACATCAAGATACAACACAGCATCAGCTAACAAAAGGATATAATAGATGTAAATAAGCCAAAATACCAGCAAAGTATATCCAGATAAGTGCATCACCTTTGTACGAGGCCCCAATCTCTTCTATGTAACAGGCTGTCAGCTGAACAGTTTTAACTATACGGTAAACTTGGCAGTGCTGCTAGCTACATATTTTCTGGCGTCCTGAAGGAAGTAGGACAATCTGTTGTTGAGATCCCAGTAGGCTATTATGTCAAGTAAAGATCCTAAATACTGAGCCCTTGCTGGGTGTATACAGATAGTGTCAGGCCCATCCCCAAAATAATGGTGAAACAGTCCAGTTGAGTTAAGGTCCTTTATTTGCTTACACCATATAGACAGAATCTTGCCAGACTAAGTCTATACTACTGCAACTTGTGGATACACCCTGGGAGATTCTAGGGAGTGGCTATTTTGAACCTCTTATGCTTCCCACGCTCCACCTCTGGACTGTGTTGTCTTTTATTTCCTTTCCCTTCCTGGAATACACCCCCTCCTTCCTGAAAGTCTTGTTCTCTGCTGCAATCCACATCACTCTTCCCTTTGTAGATACATTCCATCACAGGTAGTCCCCCGGTTCAGAATGCCCAGGATAAAGACGACCCATAGTTAAGAACAGAGCTTATTGTAGCAAAATTCAAGTTAAATACACAATGATTCGAGTTAAATACACAACGGTTCGAGTTCATTACACAATACTACTTATACCATATTATGCAGTAATACTGTTCTGGCTTGCATACAAATTTGACTTAAGGACAGACCTTGGGAACAAAACTTGTTCTTAAACTTGGGACTACCTGTAATTGGCACCCAAATAAGACTAATGTGATGTCTTCTATATATGTAGTTCCACCTATATATTTCCTCTCATAATACACATGTGGTGGAATCACCCATATTTTACCAGGCAGTCCGGCAACTCAAATCTCACTTTGGTAAAGGCTGTTCTTTAATACGGTGGCAGAGACGTCACCTTGCCGACAAAGATCCGCATAGTCAAAGCTATGGTTTTTCCAGTAG